AAACGTGGTTGTTTCGAAAGTGCGCCCAGGCTCTCGTACTACACAGAAAGCGAGACAGGAAGAGAGTGAGAGCAAACTGCAAGTATAGAGGAGGAATATATGCGGGTAAGTTGTGAGTATGAGAGTGATAGAGAAATGGACAAAAAGAGATAGAGAGAGAAAGTGTAGGAACAAACAGTAGCAGGTATGAAAATAAGTAATTTACTAGCGTGCACACATGTATATACGGTGTGTACACTCACGGTTTTGTTTAAAAGGGAGACAGAGCGAACGCGCGAGTTAATTAAGTTCGTCATGTTAGCCCTGCTCTACGGGGATGTTTCCGAGCCCCAACCCCAGGCCGCACATCCCCCCATAACACCTCTCCCTTCAAAATGTATATTGTGTCGTTATATTATACCCCTGTAATATTTTATATAGCCGAGGGTTTTGTTGCGGGCTTCAACTAACATATTGAGTCCAACCGTCGCCAGACTTACTTCCTCGATCACCCCCTACACTCGTATACGCGAATTAAATATTGATAGATTTTCCCTTAAACGAATAGATTTGCTTTTTTCCATCCCCTCCGTGCACTCACTTATTTCGTTACCAATAAAATAAAGCCAGCGTTGAGTCAACACTACATCTATTTACACTCAATTTCATTGACGTAATTCTACCGAACTACCCCAAAGATTATATTAATTCCCTTTTCATTTGTCACTCACGTATTCCACCAAGTATGAGTAATATTCTATGTATCAATTTTAGATTGTATTTTACGACCCTGTGTGTATATATTCGAATCGTCCATGATTACATTTTACGTTCAACAATATTACATTTTTATGTCATACTTCTTTTTTAATATATACAAATAATTAGTCATAAAACGAATCAATTAAATTAATTGCTTTTTCATATATACAAAAATACATCAAATATGAATGCAATCAAAAAATTATTTATTGTTTTTATTTTAACAAACAAATTAATACAAATATTAATAAATTTAATAACAAAAATAATAAATAAACATTTATAAATCCAATCATTTAAAACAAACATTTGCCACCATATGCTTTTCCGACATAAATTTATTATTAATGCAATAACGCCTTTGTACAGGTATTATATTATGCATGCAATAAATTTTAGTTTACTTATTTATTGTTAATAACTGTATTAATTTATTTTTGAAAACTAAGTAGTCTTCACTTATTAGAAACATATATTTTATTTGCTTCAAAAACTTAATATTCATATTCAAAAACACCTTTTTAATAATTTTAAAATGTAATTTATATTTTTTTTTATTTTCTTATAAAATTATTTAGTAAATGGCAAATTTGCAGAGACACTTTCATTGTTTAACTTATAAAATAAGTAAACTTTAACTACAACCACGGTTAACCCGAACCGCGGTAAATTGAGACCCAAATAAACTGTATTCGCAGTAAAACTGTAGTTTCGAAAACATATGTTGTGTTCTCTTTTGGATTTAAACTTAAATACAATAAGTAACATTATTGCCAACATGTATATCAATTAGCCATAAATAAATAGAGTTATCTTTCATTACAAATAATTTATTCATTATAATGAACAATACATTAATTATATATACAAACACATATGAATCATAATTAATTAATAATCAATAATCCGATTTAATTAATTTCACTATATGCATATTAGATGCACTATCTTCAACTGAATCAAAGTACAAAAAACTTGTTTTTTTTAAATATCAAACACCAATAATTTTCCATGCGTATTTGGATTCAAATCTTTGAATAATTTGTATGTTACATTAACAATAATAATAGTAATAACTAAATAAATTATTACAACTATTTAATATTTAATACAAATACCTTTATTAATAATAATATAGATATTATTAAATAATAGGTGGTCGATTCGAAACTAAAATTTGATGATTTTGGTAGTAATTACTAAATATTAAATGATTGTTGTTTGTTATCAATCTATTAATGAAGTCTGAACCAAAAATGAGTAAAATTAAAGTATTATTAGAAATTTAGAGTTATATGGAATTTTATTATTAATCTTATAAAAAAATATTGAGTTGTTCATCACCTTAAGTTTGATGATGATAGATTTAATAATTATAAATAAAATATGATTGAAAGGATTATTTCGAGAATAAATGCATTTAGCGGAGTATACAAATAGCTACAGTCAGTTTCGGCATTTGATTATCGATCTCCTCAGGATTTATTTAAAGCCAAACTAAGCGGATTGCAACTTTATTAAAGGAACAGCAATTTAACTCTCTCGCATGTTGTTGTGCCGTACTCTTCTTCTATATGTATGTACGTACACATTCTCCCACACATATTATAACATCGGAATCCAGCAAGTTTAACATGTAATTTAATCTGGGCTGAATTGTTTATGAGATTGTTGCGGCTCTGGAGGATGTTGCCATTAACCTCGGCATAAGAGACGGATTTACATTAGCCGGTTCTGGGCTCATCTCCTCTATGTGTGTTTGTATCTGTTTGTGTGTGTGTGTGTACCAATTTATACCAGCCAATTGATGGGGGCCACTCGTCGGTCCCCCCAGCATTGTCTTCCCATAATACCGCAATTAGATACAATTGAACAAGTAACGAGACAGATATTAGACTAATTACGGCGAGGGCCAAATTCTGTTAGCGCATCGCTCAGTAACAAAGCAACAACGGAGGCCGTTGTTCGGGTCTTTACATTTAATTCCAGTCTGAAGAAAGAGACAGAGAGAGAAAGTAACAATCCAACAATACTAACAGAAGGTGTTCAATCCATTGATGAAAACGTGTTTGAATTCAAGATAATTCATGAACGTGTAATCATTATTCAAACATTTAACTAAATCTTTTGTTATGTCCATGTAGCATTCAATTTACAAATTATATATTGAAAGTAAGTTCAATCACATTTATAAGAAAATACAATAGAATAACATTATTATATATAAAATAATTGCTAATGGTATAAAAATCCGCTAACAAATGGTTGAAATGGACAAATACAGATTTGCAAAAAACAGAATTATACATTAATTTGAAATGAACGTGTGTTCAGAACCATCGACAACTTCATGTTCGCTCCGTCGCGATAATTGTAACTGATTGTTTGTGGGGGAAAAACAATTTTCGCGCTGGTTTCTGCCGTTGACTTTCATTTTTAATCGTAACTCAAAAATCGCAAGACAACAAGAAAAATTTATAGCCCATAAATTTCTCCAGCCGAATGATATATGACTCGTCTCCATGCGATTCCTCATATTTTCGAGATACCGTTACTAACGGAAGTTGAAAGGGAGTTTTGGAAGAGAATGCTAGAGCTTCAACCACTCTCAAGATCCATTGATGGATTTAATTGCAACCCCGGGGTTTCCATGCAGTTTCGTAAGTTGTTAAGTGTGATGCGATTTAAATCAATCAAGCCGTTCGCAGTCGACGGGAATACATAATATGTTCAATGGAGATGCAAAACGCATTTCCGTTTCCAGTGCGTAGTAAATGAATAGTGGAAGTTGTACAGGCAACGAAGACGGCGGCGGGACGAATCTGCAAATCATTTGCATACCGTATTTAACATAATTTACATTGCTAATTGCTTTTATTCGAACCGCACTATTCTAGCGAACAGACAAAAAATGTGGGGTCTTAAATTACTGTTGCATAATATATAAGATCACATTAAAGGCTTCTGTTGTATTTATTATTTAAAATTAATTAATTTTTAAATGTTAACGCTTAGACAACTGGAAATAGCAGATTATAAATTATTACGTAATACTTTTTGCATTTATATATTAATTATTCTACAAAATAAAATATTAAGATAATTTAAATAGTAATTTTTTATAATAATTCAAAAAATTAAATAAATTTTTAAATAATCAATTAATCAAAATAATAATAATTATTAGATTTTGATAGATTTTGGCATGATTAGATGAATACCAACATGTGATACAATCATTACGGATCACACTTGGGATTATTGACTTGTTCTATAATCAAAGGTTAGGACATACGTAAATAATACTGTTATTTTTTTTATATATATTATTTATGAAGAAGCACTTATAATAATGTTATAATATTACTTCATAGAATCAATAATTATCAACAATTCAGACATTTTTCAATCTTTAGATATCTTCAAAAGTCTATAATTATTTATTTTATTTAATGAATGGATTTCAATATCTTCAAAAATCTTTATCGAAATTTACAATAACTTCTTAAAGATAATGAAACAATAGTATATTGTTGATGTATTAATAAATGTTTTTATTTGTTTTAAGTATTTACATTTGTTATGCTGTAACCACAGTTTGCGTGCCATGAGACATAAATGTCAGGCATGCCAACTACTACAGAATACGCAATATTTATCTTGTAGTACGATGACAGTGAAACTTAACTAGTAACTGTAATTGTACACTGTAATATTAGTACTAACTTAAATAAATTTATGTCAGTAAATTTATTTACTACCGCTTCGTGCATAGTGTATATACATCATTAAACTTTAACTATATATTAGTATCAAATTTTGCGTTTCTCAGTATACATATTTCCGTTTTGTTAAAAATAGGGTATTATAAGCATATTTCAAAATTCCTAAGTTGAATTACGGAACTCTTTATTAAATATTTCATAATATTCCGCAAAAATTTTGATTGTTGTTATATTGGTAATTTAGGGGTGAACCACAAATCATTGAATTTGAGTGTAAACTTTGCGAGTAGGATTTCAATAAACGATATTTTGTAATTTATAAAGCAATTGCGGTATGCTTATGTCGGATGATAATTAGCCGTGAATAATGTAGACACGATCGTCCCTTAACGAGTTCTTGAGCCGTCCGATGCCGGCCACCTGTGCGGGCGTCGCGGCGCTTTGGTTAGGCCCTTTGCGGGGGAGTGAGTCAGGAAACGGAAGGGTATGCGCGCGTCGTTCCGGGGCGTGTGGGAAGGCTACGGAGGGCCGAGGGTCGATCATCAGTATTCGCGAAATGTTCGGCGAGTGTATATAAAACGAAGCGTCGCGACGCCGCTCGCTCAGTCCTCGTTCCGGACTCCGTCGTTGGCTAACCTCGCCGTCGCGCTACAGGTACTACCCCTCGAGTACCGCGCCAAACGATATTTTCCGCCACCGAACATTCTTCTTCACAAACATCCCTTAACAAACAAATATAAACAATAAAATTACATCGGAAGAAAAGAAAGAAAACAAAACTAAATTTAATTTAATCTTCGTTTAAGGGAACGGAGAACTCCGAGTTTGCTTAGCCATTAGAAGAGTCGGTGTAAAAACAGAGAAGGGAATCTGGCCTTTTCTCACTTTGCCCCAAGAGTGCTACCCTTTTTTTCCTCAGCTCGCTGTCCTCCACCTCCTCCAGTCGTTTTGCGAGGCCAGGTTTTTTCGCCCTTCTACGTTTTCCCCCTTTTTTTCCACGTCTGTTTGTTTCTTCGTGACTTAATGTGTGCACGCTTCGCACGGCTGGTGTAAATGATCCGACATATTTCACCACCTCCGTCGGATTATCGCCAGCTTCCAGAAGGGATTCGTCAAGCAACAAGTCACCTTCTCTTCGGACACCACCGGGGGATGCGTTGCTGACCCAGCATGGATTACATCAGCCTCTTGTGCTGCCTCGTCGCCTTCCTACTCTACTACAACACACTCGATGCAGGCTTCGTCTACGATGACCGGTGAGATGAAGATTCCTCCCTCGAACACCCTAACCGAAAGCAAAATCCGGTTTCCAGAACAGTCCCCATCCAACTCCACTATATTACAACACGATAACGCTGCCAGATTTATTGCACCCTCATCCAACCCCCAATCCTTTCCCTCGCTTCCTCTTCCATATATACACTCCATCCCGTTCTCGAGCCGCATCGATTCCGCAAACCATCGATCCTTAATGAAAAATGATATGAGCCCGAAACCATTAACTCGAAATATTATACCGAATTTCGTTTAAAATCATACGAAATCTCCGAGATTATCAAATTCCACCATCAACATATCAAACTTTAAAAAAAAACTATTACTTAATCCAAATATTGAAAAAAAAAACACATTGAAAATGTAACTTTCATTAAATTTTCTGTCAAGAGACTCTGAGATGATAAAAAAGCAATATAAAATCCCATTGTTTTCGATTCAAAATATAAGATCGAAATCTATCCAACCTAATAGAAGACACACCATTCCAAGCATTTAACCTAATCTTTACATTCCTCTCTCTCTCTCTCTCTCCATTTTCACGATAACCTTATCTCTATTGCCTTGAATGCCGCGCTTACTTAGATCGATAGAGAATGCAACTCGCTTTACATTTTAGAAAATTATTCGCCATCACTTTTGCAATTAGTATAATTCTACAATCAGCATTTCAATAATAGGAAAATATTAAAATTTGCAATTCAGATTCGTTTTCTATTTGAAACCGCCAAAAAAAAAATCCGTACATTTTATTTGAAGCAGAACATACTTGTTTCTGCAAGCACAATGAAAATATAATAAATTTAAAAAAATATATATTTATAGTAGATGTTGTAATTAAAATTATAGAAATACGTACATTTTGATATAAAACACATTGAAGAAAAAAAAATAGGTTTTCTACAATAGTAATAATAATATTTTTTGTGAATGATTTTTTCAAATTATTTTTATAAATTTATATAATTTGTTTGTATTGGTATAAATTCTAATTTGTGTCTGAAATATTGTTGTTTTTATATAGAAACACAAAACAAATAAATAGTTAATTTTAATATTATGTTATATATCAATTTATGTAATTCCAAATGATTATATGATGAAAAGTAGAATGAGGTAGAAAATGATGCTTCGTTCTTCGAGAATGGTATATTTGAGTTCACTGAGATGAAAAAAATGAGGATAGTATTCAGATTATCGTCTGCTCTTGAATACATTAGATTCCGAGCTTGGCTTCTGTTTGCATTAGGGAGCAATCCTGGTCATGTCATCAGTAAGTTGTTTTGTAAATCTGCAAACAAAAGTATTTCAATTTTTCTTTAAATGAATAACAAACATTTTGAATTTTATTCACGTTTAATTATTAGTAAATGGTGTTATAAGAACATTATTTTTATATATAATATAAATTTATTGGAAATAATTCAAAGCAGTTGTAAATTATATATATATTTATTTTGTTCTTTTTCGATTTAATTTATAATTTTTCAAGACAATTAATGATGATTTGTTTAAATATTATTTATATAAGCATAATTTTGTTTTTGAATTTCAGTAAGAAATGTGTTTTTGAATCTACTCACACTTTTTTATTCTAAGAACTAAATTCGTACTTTCAATAATATTCTTTCTGTAATATACTAATAAAAGCATTTGGATAACCATAGATAACTTCATACATAATTCACAATGTTTGTATATAATTGCACAGTTTCTCGCTTCTTAATACCTTTGGAAATATGAATTAAAACTGTTGGAAATAAAAGTATGCATATGTGTGTATCTAAAGAGGGCGTCGAGATGTTGACTCAAAGAGAACGTTTCGGTGCGCAAATGAAAAGGGATTGCGTGTGTTGTTGTCAAGGGTGTATGTAGGTATGACCTGCATGTCGCTATCGCTCTTCTTTATCCCGCAGGACCGGTTCGAGCTTAACAAATCCCAATAAACTAGTAAATGTATTCTCTATACTTCCGTTTTATCATTAATTCTACTTTCAAATTGACATTCATTTTATTCTGTACTATAATTTCATATTTCAAGGTAATATTTTTTTAAATAATAATTTAAATTTAACAATAATAATAAAAACTTAATTATGTTAGGTGAGAAAAAATGTAAACAATCCAAGAACAAATTCATCACTTTTAAGAAAGTTTAAATGATTTAAAGAATACACCAGACGTGTTATTCTATGATTGACTTGCAAATGAGCTTCAACAAACTTAAGCTCAAGCATTTAAAGCACAACAGGTACATAGAGAGTAAAGTAAAACTTTTCTTCAATCAATAAATAATTATAATATACATATTTTTTTAACAATTATCTTTAGAAAAAAACAAATATAAAATGATTTCAATTATATTAACTTACTTCTCACTTCATTGTTTATATTTTTTTATGTTTTGTTGCATTATTAATTTCTATTACTATATTGTACTGAAATTAAAATTTATTATTTAATTTTCTTATTTAATTACAGTAATCTTCATTGGTTAACACTAATAATCCTTCTGTATGAAACAATAATTTATACGTGATACAAGTATTAAATACTTCCCAAGCAAATACATGTCAATATACTAAAGCTATTGAAGCACATTTTTTCACAATTATATGAAAATTTACTTGGCATGTATCACGTAGAAACAAGTAAATAACAAGATTATAGCTTAACAACCAAATATTTATTTTGTACATTAAAGTTTTCCAAATCTTATCACTGATTGGCATAACTTTGAATTACAAGTCTCACCTTATATTTTCAGATAATAAAATGAAAAAAGTAATGAATCATCGCATAGTACTGATATTTTGTATAGGCAATATCGAGGACTGTTTTTAGCCGGACTATTTGAGGAATTAAATAAAATATAAAAAAACGCACAAATAGAGACTTGACTTTTAGAATTTATTTTGTTTTGAAAATTTCAAACCGGATTATGGTAAATCCGGACTAATCGAAACCGCAATGCAAGGTATTGTTGTATAGATAATAATTGCAACTTGCAAATATAATTGTTTTTGCAATTAAGTCGAATAATTGCCATCAGTCTTCTTCACTTCCTTGGTTAATTGGCTTCTGAAGATGATATGAATTTAAATACTGAGGTCACAGGAGGATAGTGTTCGAGACGGCCCTGACGTTCCCCCTTATATTCAGAGTGTGTTCAAGTGGGGCAATATCTGAGCATGTATACACAGAGGCCGTCGTTGTCGGTCGCAAACGATGCCAGCAGAATTTAATTGAACTGGGCCGTTTGTGAATCATAACACGTAATGGTGCGTCGCACCCCCTCATCCACTACAAACCACCCCCAACCCTTCTTCTTCTTCGCTCATTCGAAGCCCCCCACGGTTCGCGTTTGTTTGTGTGCCCCGTGTAATCACCGTTCCAAGTGTCGCGAGATTTTCAACCGTAAGGCGAACTGTTTATTGCCCGGCTACAATTGAAAATCCGCCCCCTTTTTCCATTCCCGTGCTCAAACCGAGCGCGACGGCAAAAATTGTCCTCGCAAAACTGGATCCATATAACACATATTCCCATGCAAATTTTGTTCTTCTAACCCTCCCGCCTCGTTGAGCGGATGCTGGCTGCTTCAGACAATTGCCGCGCTCCGGCTTTGCTACACGGATAAACCCAAACCACCAATAAATATATTTTTAATATTTACAAAAATCAAATTCAATGTTTTCCACCTATATAAATAATCCATTTAACCGACACATTAAATGTCCATTAAAAACGCATTTATAACAAAAATGATATATCGATGCACTCGTAGTTATACAATAGGTGAATGCATTAACACAATAACATCATAAACAATATTATTCCACGTATTAAATTAAATCCACAATATGGAAATCCGACGGTTTAAGGCATTTATTTATATTTAAACAAAATTTTATATAATCCAAAATATATTATGTGCAGTGGCGGTACTTCAATTCCTTGTCCCCTTGCAATATTATTCAGACCCTTAAATCTCTCAGGCTATTTTTTAGTAGTTACGTACTCTAGCCAATTTGATGGTACCAGGCAATTTTTGACTGGTACAAAAATTGATGACGGGCGGGGGATGTCATTAAGATCATTAAGATAACTGTGGGTATTAGACACCCTAGTATTAATATTTTCTTAAAGATTTTTTTTATTAGGGCCCTCGCTTTATGTGATTAGGTGGCATTGTAGAACCGCCACTAAATCTGTTAAACCATTGCATTACATAATATTATTTAAAAAAAAAACTAATTCTATTTGTTTGGGGTTCTTATAACAGTTTGGTATTGATGTTACACTGTTTCGAAATATGTAGTAATGGTTGTGATATTCAACATTTATGGTGTTATAAAAATGAGGTTGATTATTATAGGTACTAAAGATGAAGCAAAGCGAATAGGTTTCTTTATTATGTACATATTACTAGTTCGTAGAAATGCACTGTATGTGTTATTATGGAAATATAAATCATTTTGTGAGAAGGAAACGGAAATACGATCTGCTCTGTCTTTTAGTAAACAACCTCCATAATAATTTGCATAGACGTTTATGGGGTCGGCTTAATGCGGCAAAATGTATTGGGTTTGACGAGAAATCACTATTCAACGTAACCTTAATCACAACCCTTGAAGTTCTCAACTTGAATAAGAATACATTAAATACGTATATATAAAAATAATGTTTTTCAATAATAAGACAAAACAATTCGTGAAATTTCTAAAAGAAATGAAATAATCACATCGAACTGTATATGATATTGATTGTATTCATTATTCAAAGGACGGCATTATAAAAGTTATTAATAGGTAATTCAACATGAAAGGTCATTGTTCTTCTGATATTTACAGAGTTTAATTCACAAATTAAGCCACATAACGAGCTTTCGCTTTCCGAAAAGGTCAAAACGAGAACGCAATTACAAAAACATTACCTCCGGCTAATTAATATTTTTGCCTCATTATTTTTTGTTTCCTTGAGTCGAAAAGCATTATAAAGTATTCGCAATTACATTGTTTCCAATTAAATGTATGTAATTAATAAACATAAACAAATAATTAAATAAAACGTATTTGTTTAAATTGTTATTTATTCGGCTGTGAACGTGTTTTGGATCAAATAGCTTTTGGTTCTTTGTGTTTTACATTACTTTTTTTTTGCTGTTCGGTAATTTCGGATCCTGTTTTTGAATTAATTTGAATAAACAGACAACAAGCAAATAAATAAAGTCAAATGAAACATCGCATGACTTTTAACTATGCCGTATGAATATTTTATGAACATTTGTTATAAAATTATTGCAACCTTATCAAGCTTTTACAGCGCACTTTATAAAATACATTATTTTTAATGATGTATTTGTATTTTAATAATGTGGCGTTTTGTTGATTTGAGTAGTTCAGTGATTTTTATTTGATCGTTTGTTTTCATTAAAATTTATAATAGAAGTGATATTTTAGTGTGATTTAAAAGAAATATGATGATTGGTTGAATCGTATAGATTTTCTCGTGAAATTGAAAAACGATTTGTACTTTTAATATCGTGATGATATTGCTATTAAAATAATTGAGTACTTTACTTTATAGCACTTTCAATAATTGGTACTCAAAATGCTAATTTTCACTATATTTGACTTCAACCTGAATATACTTTTATTAATTGTTTCCTGAGATTTAAGATTTTCTTCTTTTACCATGAAATCAAATTAATGCTATGTTTATAATACTGTGAATATTAAGAAGACTCAACTAAAATATATTAACCTTTTAATCAGTATAATTTTCTAATAATGTTACAAATATATACATTGGAACCTCGGTTAATGAGTTTAATCCGTTCCAAAATTTCCTGTTTGAATGTAAATATATATTTCAGTTTAGTTCATACAGTTTTACTACTGGGCTTGCATTTTGTTTTTCAAAGGAATAGATTGAGCAATAAAGTGGAGTTAGGTTGTAAATCATTGAATGTTATTTTTTAGAGAGAAACGCTGATCAAGCTAGCATGCCTTTTTTTATTGCAATTAAATGACATTTATTTATTTACTTTTTTTATGTCATTTGTTTTATCGCGATGCATTGACAGTGGTAGAATGCGAATGAAAAATGGTGCATCAATCAAACGTATTTCTGTCATTTAAAATGTATTGGTTTTATTGGGCGATTTAGTTTGGAGATAGCATGTTCGTGCTGCGAGAGGGCTGCGTTTAAATAGTTGATGTGTAATTGGAATAGAATGGTGATTAATAAATGAATAATGAATGTGTGTTTCAGGCGTGCGATCCTGAGTAATCCCGACCTGCTGCCGACGACGCCGTGGCATCGATTGCTGCAGGACGATTTCTGGGGAACACCTCTGAGCGATTCCGGTTCTCACGGCTCCTACCGTCCGCTCTGCGTCCTCTCCTTCCGGTTGAATTACCTCCTCGGGGGCTTCCAACCATGGGGCTATCACCTGGTCAACGTTCTTCTCCATTGCTTGGCCACAGTACTTCTAGTGCGCGTCTCAAGGCACATCCTTCCAAGGAGCAGATCTTCGGTGGGTTCCGCAGTCACGGGACTCATCTTCGCCACGCACCCCATCCACACGGAAGCGGTCGCTGGGGTAGTGGGTAGAGCGGATTTGGCAGCGTGTAATCTCTACCTGCTCTCATTCCTCGCCTACATATCACATATAAGGTGCAGGGACATCCCTTGCTGCAGCAAATTAAACGTGACCGAGGGTGGATTAAAGCAGTTCCGCGGTTTAAAATACCACCGCTTCGTGGTGAATCTGCAGAACAATGTGACAAACTGTAACTGGCCGAAAAGGCTCGGACGGGAAGTAACTCAGAGCGAGGCTGCGGTCAGTTCGGTCCAGAGGAGTGCGGATTCGGAGGATAGCCCTTGCTGCTGGAGAAATAACACCAAACGATGGCTCACTTTATCCGTATCAATCCTGCTATCAATCGCTTCGATGCTGAGCAAGGAAACCGGGATCACGGTCTTGGGAATCTGCCTACTCTTCGATTTTCTCCAATCGCCCACCATTAACAAAGTAAGTCAACTCTAATTGAATTTATAGAATCAATAATGCGCCAAGTTAAAAACAAAACGAAACTTATGATAAAGTAATTTCCGTAGTGCTCCCGCACTAAAACACACAGACACATACACGCAGAGAGTCTCAAGTTTAAGTAGAAACTTTTTAAATCTCTGCCCGAATTGATTGGCTTCGCGAATCGAACTTGGAGTACTTTCAGTTCTGAAATCGATTTTAAGTCCTAAGTGCAATTTTCCTTTTATATGCAACACCCATCACACTTAACACTTTCTACAATAATAAAAATGAATGAAAATACATAATTGTGGACGAAAAGTCTGCACATAAATTAGGTTTATTATTTCTGTAATTATTTTTGTTTAATTATATTTGCATATAATTGATAAATACAGACACAGAAATACTTCGGTAGCCATTACATCAGAATTAGTGAAATCTCAGGTCAATTTTAAATTAATAAAAAAGACTTCTACAAATAACATAATAAATATATTGTAATTAAGCAGGTTGTAAATTAATATCTTTTACATGTTTTGTTTCTTATAAATACTTAGCAATTGTTAAATAATGCACATACAACCGATATGTACATCCAGTTGTTATTTGATAAATGCACACTACGTACACTAACGATTGAAAAAGTTCAATCGATCAATAGAAAAAGCACAATCACATTTGATGCTACTCAGAAATATTGTATAGTTACTTTTTATATCAATCATTCTGAAAAACGAAATACGTTTTTAAATTAAATTATATTTATAGCATTTTTTCGAAAAATATAACGATTTTTTTTACCTAAATAAAGAGACTTGCGTAAATATGTTTATACTTAAATTTGATGTTCGTCGGTTATAATTCATGTTTATGTGCATAATACTAAAGATAGTTGAGTTTCCTTTGTCATCAATTGAAATTCATGTTTTATTTATGAGAAATGATATGCATTTTTGACTGTTGAAATTTAACTGAATTTCATATGTTAAAAGGAAATTTCTTTCAATCCTCGTGTTCAACTATCACTCAGTAGGCACTTTAGCGTAAAAATAGATTCGTTTTCGCAAACAAAACAGATGCACTCTAAAATATATAAACAAGTACTTTGTGTATGGTGTACGTTTAAAATCAATAAGAAGAACAGGAAAACACACTTTAATAATATATACTAAGAAAAAGGTGAACATCCTTACGATTTGTGTATTTTTCGAGTTTATATCAAAATTTTCATAAATTTACCACGTTTTAAATCATTTTCTTATTTGTATTATTTTTAGTAATTCTTATAAACATAAAAGTTAAGAAATTACAGTAATTTTATTATGATCTAAATATATATTTTTTATGTATAATTATTTAAACATATCAAATTAAACATGCAATAAAATATCCATTAATTTTTGATACATATGTTATTTCTTATATAGTAATAATTAAATAAATATAAAATTGGTATGAATGATTCAAATTGAATTCTGTTCTATTTGAGCAATTAACCGTGACGCAAATGTAGCAGATTGAAATTGCATTTGCTGAAACTAGATACTGAATTAAAAGTATCTAATTTCTTAAGTGTATAAGTATGAGCCCGACAGAAATGTCGCATCAAGTTGAAAGTTTCAAGTGTTAATTACTATTATATTAGGGTAATTTTATTTTAGTATAAACTTTATTTCATTACGCTAAATAATTTAATTTATGTCTAAAATTCACTTTGTTTTCATCCATCTTTAAGAGTGTATTAAACATTTACAGAAAACATTTGATCCCAGACAAATTTTATTCTGAAAGCCGGTTGAAATATGTCACCTTTCAGAATATGTACAGACGTTAATTTTTTAGCTTTTTTTTAGCAATTTTAATCTTTCTCGACAACCCAATAGATGAAGTGCGTCTGATGACAAAAAGATTGATAAACAACTACTTAATAAACGATATGCCACTGGTCTTATATAACAAAATATTAGAAATGGTGTTGAATTTGATAAATACGATATTATTACATACATCCACATATACTTTTGCACTTAACGTGTTAAGTTTCATCATGTGTCAATATACTATTGAAAATATGGAATATATTTTAGAACACATTTCACTTCAATAGGAATATAGAAGTATATATATTTTTAATGATTATAGATCTATACATTTTTCATTTTATTAATTATATTAATTAATTCTCAATTATTATTATTATTATTAATATTATTTAAATAGTGCATTATTTTATTAACAGAGAATTTGAAATATGTTTCATAAATTTTTGTTGTATTGGATTTTAAATTATTTTTGTTGTGAATTATATAAGATATTAATGTATAAATATTAAAAGTTGAAAGTTGATGGAAATCCGATTATAATATTTAAATTATGATCGGAATAATGTTGTTTGAAGTTGCAAGTGTAACGGACGGTATAGGTGGTAGTTGCATGCACACGTTTTCAAGTTTTAAAACTTTTCAAATCTCTAACCCGGGGATTGATCGTCGGCGAGCTGTGCGGATCGAAGTTGAAGTACTTTCGGAATTGATTTCACCCGCTAATCGCAATAACCAGTTAATATCCCAACTTCGGCATTCCACCCATTCGGTATTAAATTTTTAACCATTTCACTCACGGACAACTCATTGATCTTTGAGGGGTCTGGGGAGGTTTGGGTGTCGTCGCCGCGCGTTTGTAGGAGAACCAGTTGAGAAGAGAAGAGGGTGAGAGATAGTTTGCATCGTCGTCGTCGGAGGCGGTGGCAGCGGGGGCGGCAATAAACCGCCGAACCGGCTGCTCACCGCCTCCGCATCTACAGTCAAACCAGCCGCCATCCTCCATCCACCTCCGACACCATCATCCCCCTCTAACGTCCTAGCTCCCCTTGAACGTCCTGAGAAGCGCAGCCCCCCTTTCCCCAGTTAAACCACCCCCTAAAACCGTACGTGTTAATGTGTCACGTTCAGCTGTCGCTATCTTGTCGCCCTTTCGTCCGCCCAGCCAAGATTGGAAAAGTTCGCGAGCAAATATATTGCGGCCGGTTACGTGGGATAATGAATTATGTCCGAACACCCTCTCCCTTTTTCTCAATACTCCGTTCTCGATATAAGGAAACATTCTTCAACAGATCTCAACCCCCTTTTCGAATGCCAATTTTTATTACCATCACTTCGAACTCTGGACAAAGCAAAGTTTAAATGGAACTCGAACGACCACACATTATATTTTTCGATAAAATTCCACAACTTCAACCATTTAATATGACATCCATTAATAATGAAATTAATCAAAACCCGTATTTCGGACAGAATTGTTCAATAAAACATATCTTAATGTTTTGATAATAAAACTAAAATAATAAAAATAAACCAAAATTAAAAGAATTACCAATTATTATATTTGCAGATATCACATGTATGTATTAAAGAAAAACACGAAATATAAATCGATTTTAATTGATTTTCTTAATATAATTGATTTAAACAAAATAATCAGATTCTTGAAATTAAGTATAAACATACAAGAAAATAAACAATTGTTTATTTATGGAATATTTACATTGCATATTAGTTTATACAAATCCGTATATATGTATAAGATTTTATTTGATGTAATATGCATGAATACGCGCGTGCCATTGATTTGTGACAAGAAAATGGAACATATTGTGACACTTTCGTGTCGTTGACATGCGTAACGTTGTAACATAAAGAAGTAATTCGAATTAATATGAGAGAAATATAAGTTTCGTACATAAATGAAAATGTAATTATGTTTGTGTATGAATGTATTTCCTTTGCCTTTGTTATTATTGTTTTGTTGTATTTATTATATGGAGACGGCGAATGTGTGTATGGCGTGACGGGTATCAGTGGAATCTGGTGTTTCGGAGGAAACTGAGACCGAAGTTATTTATGCCGCACCATCGGATTAGAAGGATCCGAGCCTTTCGAGTAGTAGTCCCCCCTAAGGACATTCATTCTGTGCCGCATATTGAGTCGCAGTCGCATTCATTCCACAGTTTGTAAAATCTTTCGGGCAAATATACGAGGTCATTTTCGGCGGCCACCGTTTGCCACCCCCGTTCGGATGGTCGGAGTCGACGGCTGGAAGGGGGTCGTTTGGGGAGAGGGACGTTCTTGAGCGTGGAGGCTGAAATCAATTCGAAACTCAGACCGTTCAAATTGCTTTTTCTTAGTTTATTTCGGTCGTTCAATACGTCTTCCTTCCTTAGGAAGACAGTTGCCGATATTTTTGCTGGTCGTGTTGACTCTGGATGTGTGTGTAATTTGTCGGGATCACTGACACTCGTCTTCTTCTTTCCCCCTTTTGCACTCGTCCCACCCTCTGTATATCGAACGTAAACACACATTTTCACCAGTGAATTCCTACAAAGAAGTCACCAAATTGAGTTCCACCCCTAGAGCTAAACCCAATTAGCGAGATGGAGAAGTTGACCGATAAAATAAAAAAAAAGAAGTAAAGAAGAAACGAAAGAAGTCGGGGAGGAGCGAACAGAGGGGTCCGAAACTGCTACAAGTTTTTAATTAATTAATAATTAACTCCTGAACATTACCAAGTCATTTTTACTTAAACTCAGGCTGCGAACTTTTGATTAAAATTTTATAAACGCGCTTAAAATTCAATTCAACATTAAGTCTTTCGCCTTTTGTTTCATTCATCTATCCATCCGGAAAAGGAAAATATTATCTTTCGCAGTGTACGTGTATCAGACGATTCGTGAAAACTCCTGCTGCTTCTGCTGCAGCCGAGAAATGTGCTTTAATATTTACTCAGTTCGAATCCTTTCGCAGCAAGGACGGTCCAATATTTATAGAGACAAATTTTATCATAAATGATTCTACCTTTACATTATACTTTGTATTATTATAAACTATTTCTACTCCAATACTTTCAGTTTGCTTTGGCAAGAAGTCAGCTCTCTTGAGTTGTGCAAATTTAAATGTATATCTTTGATAACTACATATTCTATATCTATTGAGACACAATTAAGTATTTCTACAAAACAATAGGAGGAAGAAGAAGTATATAACCAAAGTCTGCTATCATTTGCGCATTTGCGTTATTTCAAATAATAAAACTATTGACTATTTCTGCAATGTAAAAACCAATTATTAAATCCTTAGTAAATAGTATGAGTTAGAATCAAAACCAAAAGGATTAATTGGAATTGAATTAATTGAAAATATTTCTCAATTTTTTCCACTACTATTTTTTTAAATAAAAATAAATCAGTATCGCTATTGAGATGACAATAACTTCTATCAAATAATAAACTATTCGTTTCTGTAGATAATTCCACTGTCTCGTTCTTTAAATTGTGTGATCTATCGTTGCCTTGAATTCGTTTACATTTTGAATTTATTATGTGTCATAATTTTAAAATGATGTAGTAAGTAACTGTCATGAATATAGCGTAGCTACTTGTGTGGTGTGTTACATACTCTCCAGAGGGCAATTAACTTGAGAACTGTTGATTAGGTAATTATGGCGCAGCACGGTTACATTTGAAGACTACTTAGATAATAGAATTGCCGGATGCCGCATCGCCAACAATACCGAAAACAATTAACAATATTCCTACGTAAATGATAAATTTTACTGTAACTGCGTTCCATTATTTAATTTGACAGTAGAAAGATCGCAGCAATCTGCAATACTTTAATATTTACACACTGCAAATCCTTACTATCTACCCGTGCAGAAGGAGAGTTTCTCATTTCGTTTTATTAAAACGAATTCTATCATAAATTACAATAGGACTGAGAATTACAACGCGAAGGGTTAAAGAGCCGCGCGATTTATTGCGTTTTTTCCACCCCTCATTTCGGACCAATTTGTTTTAATATATATATATTTCGCATTCCATCCTCCTAACCACCCCATCAACCAGCTCGAACCCCGAAAACCTGGTAATTCACCCCCCTCGACTTTTATTACTAATTCCAAATGAATAGATCGCATGTGCGCGCCTCTATTGCAATTGTCTTCATCTTATCATCCCCAGGGGTCCAATTCAAAACTAGTTTGTAATTAGAGTGATGCTGTAATGGGGAAATATTTACTGAAAATTGCTTGCTACATAATTAAACGCTCTATAATTATGGTGCATATCATAAATTGTTAATATTATTATTGTAGTTGGATATGCTCGAAATGCTCGCATGCAATAATTAAGCCGAATTAATATATGTTTTTCCTGCAATGCAGACATCGATATGATAACAAAATGAAAAAAGTGTGCGTCGTGATGAAAAGAATCGTGCAGCATTAAAATTAACAGCTTTAATTAGCTAATTAAAATGTATAATATTTCGAATACACCATGTGACCGTTATTAATTAAATTACCCAACGTATCCTGCGATGCATCATTATTTATAATTATTTAGAGTTGTTTGTTGAACATGGACAATTTTTCTTTTATTTTTTAGTTTGTTTTTGTTTCGTATTGCTGCTTCAACTACTAAAGATTTATAACCTTTATATTTCATTTGGATGCTCGGGCTCAGCGCATTATACGTCATTTTTCATTCTCTTTGCTTCTATTAGCAAATTGAGACATTAAATTTGCATCGATTCGTTTCATCTCCTCTAAAGTTTGCGCAAGTACGATTAAATAAATACGCATTTTGCAACTTCCGCCACTTGAGATATTGCAGCGGATGATCAATTAAATATGGAGAAGGAAACTTGGAGTATTTAGTTAGTCGATACTCATTTATTAACAGCGCACGATTTATTTTAAGATTGTCTGATATTTAATTACCTAATATATGAAAATCGCTTCATATAAGTTTTGCTAAGTAAATAATTGCTTCATTCATAAGACTTTCCTACTAGTTTACATTATGCTTTATAATTTAATGAAAATGTAAATGAAGTTTGTATATAATTTGTGTATAATATAGGTAATTAAGTTAAGGTAGAAAGAAAAAAATAATTGCTATAGCATTAGTAATGTTCGCTATCATAAATAACTGATTAGAGTCAATAAACTGGCTACTATAGTAATCAACGATGACTAATGCTAGTTCTCTGGGAATTCCCACTAAGGAAGATATAGGGTGATTACCATTAAGGAATATAATATGCTATAACAGTTTGGATATGATCTACTACAGCGTTGTGTTAATAGCATTTATCTGATCACAAGAAATGCGTAAATGTTGTTTATAGATTGGATTTGTAGTTTGTTTTTTTTTGCTTTGGTGTTAATGGGTCGTTTCACCCTCAAGCTTATATTTTCTGTGGGGAACAAAAGCTTTGATGTATGCTTTAACCCCTGACTTCATCTCCATTCGTTTTTCGGTTTAATATTGTGCGATTTAAATGCGGCAATAATTCACGGACATCTGATACCGTCAGAAATCGAATTTCCTCCGTTCTTTGGCTAATGAATTATTGTAATTTGATGCAGGCATAAATATGAAGTGTCCGCGTGGGTTTTAGGTAGTGCAGAGGGTTGAAGGGAGTCTCTATTTACATGTTTATCAGACCGGTTGGCGGCGGCGGTGGCTTCGGTATAGGCGGCAAGAGAGAGGCCCATAGCTGTGTTGGAGCTACCAGCGATTTATTGGTGCTATTCGTGTAATGTAATGGCGCGAAGAACCGGAGACGGATACGGGCCTAACTTGTGTCGACTACCGTCCAAAAGATTGATAACCCAAATCTCGACTTTGCCAAGTATAATTAAGACGAAAGTTTATTAAAGCGAATTGCAATATCAGCATTCTCAACCATTTATTTTAAATACTAACAGTAATATTTTCTGAGTTTCATAACATGTATGCATCATAAAGTTATGAATCCATAATGCATAAAAAAGTTTTTATAAAATGAAATATGGATTAGGTAAATTTATTTGATACAATAAATAAAAATACTGTATAAATATAATTTTATTCATATATTAAAAAACGGTTGATAACATTTAATTTAATGATAACTTCTTTTTGTTTTTTATTTAAATAATTCTTATTTGCACACTAGCAGATCTGTTGTTTTCTTAGCGTGGAGAGAGTTTCAAGTTTCTTATTTAAACTTTGCGAATTGGCGCAAGTCGAGATTTAACCAAATGGTAATTAAACGGAAACTGATCTCGTTAGGGTGCGACGTCAGATTTGCATAGTAATTATGTAACGCATTTTAATATAAAACGGTATAACATTTTATTTATTTTCTGCGAAGATGATATATTTTCGTAAACATATGAAATGATGTATCTGTAGAATTAAATACTATTAATTATGTAAATATTTACAAGTATCATAATGACTAGTTATCAGATATGTCACATAAATATATTCGTAGTACCATTTTACAATTTAGTTCAATTATAGTAGTACTCTGTTTGAAGTTAATTTGCTTGATCAATAGGTTCAAAATAAGAATTAAATTCGATGAATAATATAGATATTAAAATAGTGAAAATTTAATACAAATTTTAAAATATTTTAGTTCTTTTCTGTATCTTAAAGCGTACTTAATTACATAATACCTTCATTGTTGATGATGTTACTATGTCAATGCAATGGTGTGAGTTTGATGTTGATGGGATTTACAGGATGTAATATGAAATGTTTTGTTGCAGAGACAATGGAAGAGTGGATTTGTATTGATCGGAGCGATGATGGTGATGTTGATGGCACGATTGCAAGGACCGACACCGCAGTTCGCAACTGCAGACAATCCGACGGCAAAGGATAATAATTTGTTGACACGCTTTCTGACATTCACGTATCTGCCAGTGTTGAATGTGTGGTTGATGCTGTGTCCGGTCAGTTTGAGTTTCGATTGGGGGATGGACGCGGTGCCGCGAATTTCGGGCTTCGGTGACATCCGCAACGGCTGCACGGTTGCCTTCTATGGATCCATGCTCCTCGTGATTAGATATTGTGTGAATGGTTTATGGAAGCGTGGACATTATCGTGAGCTTCTATCTGGTAAACAAAAGGGCGCGCGCGACAATGCGACTGCGTTTTCGAGTGACGACAAAGGACGCCTTTGTCCTTGCACGGTGTGCCATCAGAGCCTTTCTGAATTGCACTCCGCCTCGTGCCGTTCGAATAATAACAACAATAGTCTTCACTCGACGTGCATTTGTTGGCGACTTCCTGTGCGGTCTGCCCAAAGGAGTCCCGTTCGGAGTACACGCGAGGTCCGCACCTTCTCGGCCATCCTCATGGCTATAGCCTTCCTGGCTCTTCCATTCCTCCCGGCCACCAACATACTCTTCTACGTCGGCTTCGTCGTCGCCGAGAGGGTCCTGTACCTACCCAGCGCCGGTCTGTGTTTGCTCATCGGACTCGGTGCTGCCCAAATATGGTCGAAGAAAAGTTGGAGATTACCAGCAACGATCTGTCTCTTCCTCACCCTTCTCGCTTTTAGCGTGAGGACAACCGTTCGCAACCTGGACTGGACTAGTGAGGAAGCCTTGTACCACTCGGCGGTGCCCATCAACCCTCCCAAAGGTAACTTACCAAAATAACATTTCGTCCAATTAATCTTATTGCGCCCGGATATCTTCCTGCATTTCAACATCGCGTGCTGCATTAATCTATTTAGTGCTTCGGGAAACGTCAGAATCTGTTTAACTTTGCAGCAACACGAGTCCGGGATGTTTAGCCGATGCACGAATCGCTTCAATAAAACCACCCTCCTTCTAAGACTACCCATTTTCGATTCTCGAAGAAACTGTAATTACTTCTCCCCGCCCCACGCTTCGAGCATCACACAAATGAACCGTTGTCGGGATTCGATTCAATAACATTTAGATAACTCAACTGCAATACTTCTACACAGAAATATTACACGCGAATTATACTCGAATATTCCATTTTATTACCGATCGCATGACATTGTGAAATAAACAACAACTTTTTTAATTTCATTTATTTCGTAGATCAATACTCTTCAGAGTATTGTTATTCAGTGACAGTTTCTTTGTGGATAATAAAACTATTTCTAGAACACATTACATAATTGCACCACAACTTATTAATATTAATTACTAAAAAAATACGTTTTTGCTGAATTGATAGTAACCTCGAGTAATGAAATTTGTCAATTGAATTGAATTTTTAATTAAGAAACCCAACATTTAGATTTTGAGGAATATTGGGTTTGTTAATATATTTATATTTCATACTTATAATGATGTTTCTTCAATAATGAGACTACTATTTCCGGGAGATAAATTTATCTTAACCAAAGATTAATGTTTGCAAATTTAATTAAATTTAAAATAATAAAATTTATATTAAACTGACTTATACAATTGTCTTATTTCAAATCATTTGAAGAAGAAAAAGACAAAAAAAAGTATAATTCTTACAAGACTTTGTCGTGCCTTTTATCTTCAGCCAATCATGAATGCATAATGTAATTGCGTGGGGCTTTTGGGAGATATGTAAGCCAGAGTATATATACATATATATTCGGGGTGTTTAAGGATCTGTCAACCAGTCGTGGATTATTCCCTTTATTCCGATAAAGTTTCCATTCGATGAAAACAACTTTTTGCAAAGTTCAGAATAAATGCTTAGTTAGAAATGCGAGTTCGGTATGGATAAGCAGCAAGACGGATAATTGAGATTGCGGCGGGTTTTCGGTGTAAACGAGGATTAAAGGAATTTCAGTTTTTCAGTTTGCAAGTTGCGTTTATAGGTTGTATCTGATGCAAGAAAGAGACGAGAGGGATCCAGGCTAAATTAAATTGAAAATTACACTTTACCGTAAAAAAAGAAAATAATTATTTGAGAGACGAGACGATGTTGGAATTGAATTTGAAGCGATACACATAGTGTGTTATAAATGTATATGTGTATGTGTATAAATTAAACAGTGCAGCTGAAACTATTTCAATTAAACGGTTTGTTTATAATGGCAGCGCCTGTGTGCAAAGGATGTAGTTCAGGGGTGGGCGGAAATAAGAACGTTGCAGCAAAAAGGAGGCGATCGGTGCCGCGAAGGGATGAGGAGTGGAAGGCTGTGAGGGGATGGGGTTTCCTTGGCTTTCGGGGGCTCGGGTTTTGCGGGAATCGATGTTCTGGAGGAATTTAATAAAGCGAATATATTTTGTTTATCGAATTCTGTCTCTTTCAGCTTACGGAAACCTTGGTAGCGTACTCAGCAGTCAGGGCCGCGTGGCGGAAGCGGAATCCGCCTTCCGGAAGGCTCTCCACTTCAGACCCAACATGGCGGACGTCCACTACAACCTGTAAGTAAATTACATTTCTCTTCCACCACCACATATAAATCATACAGCGAATTATTATTAGTGCATGTGTTATTTGTTTCGCCGTGCTCCAATTTAATATTGTGCCATTATAACCAATTTTTTTTTTGGTGCGAGTTCACGGTCGAACAATCATCGTATACAAAATGCTTAATAGGCCATAACAATCAAACACATATAATCCGAAATTCGTATTTATTGGAAATGTTTAATCAACAAGTTAAAAAGAGTATGAATAATTATATTATGTACACAATATTACTTAAATATTAGTATTTTGATGGCAGCTACATTTTAATGACAACAATGGACAACGTTTTTTTTAAATAAAATATTTTATATAATATGTAATATTTGTTATTGCTTAATACTTAACAAATTTTAATAATCTAGTAAACTCTCCTATAACGTCGTTTCTAAATAATTTAATTATTCACAACTTTAATAGATGTAGAAGAAGTATTTCAGGAACAGACTTTAGATGAATAGGAATTGTTGTCATTAATTGATAAATCTATCTCAAGTGCATTAGTAGACTAAAAAATGTATAAATAATGGGTTGACAATTTGGACGATATGAACTAGATGTGGACTAGACACGGTACGAATTTGAGTTTCTTATAACACGGTTTCAATATTACGCAGTATCAATTAATTGGGTTATAGGAGCGTTGACCATTATAATTAATGCTTTTATCAGGATTATCAACATTTAACTTAATTATATGAATGAAGAAGATATGATTATTTTTATAATTATTATTTATTTACTATAAATTTGAGTTCTTCCTAAATTAGACCAAAAGGACAACGACTGAATAATTTCTCTCATTTATCGAAATTGTACATGATGAGTTTTGTTATTACATCTTTGAAAATATCAAATGAAGTCATATCGGATTTAACGTTATTTTGAATCCATGAATATGCAGGGGTTAATTTCATTTTTGAATTGCAGATTCGATTGCCTTTCGATTTTAGAATAAATTTCCATGCGCTTTCGCACGCTTCACCCGATGCGATGAGTAGAAAAAAAAACCCATTTTTTAAAAAATGTCTAAAGTAATTCTCTCTATGTATTAAAGGCTTTACACTGCAAATTATATTTGTGCAATATTTTCGTCGCGTTTGCAGTCCGCAGATTCCGTGCGGAATGAATACCTCCAACATAATGGGATTATTTTAGACTTGTAGATTTGATTGCCCATCGTATCGGGAATTTCGCTTTGAATCCTACGTAATCTGTTATTTATAAGGTTAAAAGTTTTCGATGAATCTCATTACGACCACAAATCGCTCTGCTTTTACGTCCCATCCTCCCCTCCATATACACTCTGCTATGCGTTCTTTTTTTTTTAGTTTTATATTCAGCAAATTCACTTAAATTTACATACGCAAACAGCTAAAGCGAATTATCTTTACCAACCAGCCCTAAACGATAACAGGACAAATTTTTGTCCTATGTTTACTTTTATATAATGCAGAGATTTCACAAATACCATTGCAAACACCAGTTTTAAACACAAAAGGATTATATCAAATCACTTTTTGTCAGACCTAAAATAACTTTAGTTATAGTTTTTTTGATTTAAAATATTTTTATTATTCTCTTTATAAAACATATTTCATAATTATTAAAGAAAATAAAAAATATATTTAATAACAATAATAATAAAATAATTACACAATTATAATTATTCATATCAATTATAGAGAACCATTGGGTTTTTCAGTTATTTTATAAAACAAATTTATTTTTAGGTATATTTCTTTATATGTGAATATATTTAAGTATTGATGTACAATACGGAAATGAAAGTTGTTTTGTGTCGTGTTATGACCAGGCGCATGCACCATATTTGTATCAAGTATTTATAGGAGGGAGACTGAAAAACAACTGCGTCCAATTAAATGCACAAATAATATGTACGCATGGAAGCACATGCATATTAATATTATAGCGAAATGAATGAAAACGCAATTTCATGAAACACGGAAGGGCTTCGTTCTACCTATATAAGCATATCTAATTAATTCGCTCGCTTGCTACGCAGAACCTTCAAGAAAACAAATTACATAATGTCAATTTAAAAATAATCCTCCCTCTTATATATTATGTTTATTTTATATAATATATAATATTAATTAATAAAATTTAAACTTTAGATACTAATTGTTAATTAATTAATAAGAAATTTGATGAGATCAATAAAAACAAATTATAAAGAACTTACAAAATTTTTCAAGCATATCTGAAAGGATTGAAACTTATTGTTGTTTTCAATTAGATTTAAAGCAACAGTGTCACAAGGCTAAAGGCAGATATAGAGATAGAATAGAAGGCATATTCTTGTATAAGCTATTAACCTACTTGAGAATAGTATAGCAACACGAAGACATAAACGTTTCAAGCCATTAAATGTATAGAATCATGTGACTTAATATCTATATAATTAAATCTTTAAGGCTATGTTTAATTAAATAATTATAGAAAATTTCTTTAACAGTTTTACCTACATGTTTAATTATGTTTCTTTTAAGAGTTTTAGTGATGTTGTTAATTTATATTTTGATGAACATTTTTTATTTCAAGTATAATAGAAGTCAATAGGGCTTGTATCCTTTTTCTTTAATATGATATAAATACGTGTTTTATATTTGTTTATATGTGATTGGTATATTAAAAATTATTATTTAATTACAATAATTAATGGCCAGATAATTATTTAATTGGATGATTATCTGGTGATTCCTTATTTTGATTTAACATTCTTAAGCATGAAGTTTAAATTGAATTTAAATGATTTTTATAAAATATATAAAGTTTGTTAATGAAATTCGATGGAATGATGAATAGTTTGATGGAGTTTAGTTGTTGGCATTTTTGGAAGTGTTGGCGTGATATCAATTGATCCTAAGCGGAGTGTATAATATAAGCAAGCATTTAGCAGTTCGAACTGGCGGCGGTTTACGGATTAAGGGTCGGGATTTTCGCCGAGTGAAAATTCGCTTTGCGGGCTGCCCGGGCCGGCAAATCGTAGTTTTGGAGTAGTTTATGGGGGCGGGTTGCATCGACCCAATCCTATTAAGGTCCCCTCAGTTCAGTTTGTTCTGTCCCATTAAGGGCTTTCCCATTGCAATTGAAATGTTTTCTTCGCCGCTTCCAACCAACCGTACAATTAATAAGACGAAATGAATTTACTTAAGCCCAGGACAATGGTATTACCAATAAAAAATAATGTGGATCAAATGCAATTTAACCCAACCCGAAAAAAAAACTGCTTAGATCTTCATAATGAAATTGATCTCACATCGTCGATGACATCTAAAACTACTATTTTTTTCTTTGCGTTATTAAAGATCCAATCAAATAATTATTGCGATATTTTCTTTGATAAATGCTTGGGCGATGGTGCGGATGTGGCAAATTTACCGCCCTCGGGGGGGTTTGAAGGAAGCCTCATATATAATCAATAGGAGATATCCGATGTCTGGCCGTAACAGCCGCAACTAAATCATTACAGTGCGAGGGTGTAATAGTTAAACGATATTGACTTCTGGATGCCAAGTGATTTGTAAGCCCTCAGATAATGGTCTTTCGGGTTTTACCCCCCCATTTCTATAGCCGCACAATGCCTGAATAATTACTCCCGCAGGTGCACTAACACTTCTACCGCATTTCACTACGCAACCACCATAAATATTATTTTTTCCAACCTTCCTACCTCCCACGATTTTTCCTATTATTTTTATTTTTTTTTGCTTTTTCGAGGTGCATGTTCCGACGCGCGTTTCACCCTCTGATTCCTTCTAAACTTAATTTTGAAGACACCCTCCGAATAATTAATTTTAATCCAGACCAATTACAAATCTGCTCTTGGCTTAATGAAATTAGCGGCCGAAAATCTCGTCCAAATTGTAACGTTCATCTTTTTACAATTCAACGTTCCAGACGCAATTTATTAAAATTATAATTTAATCTTACATTTCAACAGCTACATCAATTTTACTTACAACAAAAAAATATAATTTGCAACTTTCCTTTCAACTTCTTCATAAATTAATTATATTTACTAAAAACTTTACAACAATTTCCTTAAAACAATATGGTATGCAATACTTACCATATAACATTATATAATTAATCATTTTATGTACACTCTACAGATACTTGTCGAGTATCATCTAATGTAAGTTTATAAATAAAAGTAAATCGCCTGAAACAAATATTTTATATAAATCTTAACAGGAATCTTACATAAAACCAAAAAGTCTATCCTGATCGAATTATTAAATGATTGTGCTTATTATGAACATATTTTGTTCAATTTGTTCGCAGTCCGAATTATTCGTTAACCGATCACTGTATTATATATATATTTTAATCAGATATGATGATATAGTGATTCATAATGTATGATCAAAAACTAGTAACTGTGGATCATAATGAATTGGAGGTACACAGTTATTAATGCGATTGGATCGGTGAAATGCTAATGTGGGTGATTGGAATTGTTTAATGTTTGATGAAAATATAATGTTTGAATTATTGCTGCATTTCAGGGAATAATTTTAGGACACATATGTACACAAATTCCAACAATCAATGCTTGTACATTGCTATTTAGTGAAAGCGCAGCGTGCTCTCTTTTTTTTGTTGTAGCAAACTCAAATCAAATCAATCCAATCGGATCCCGTGCGCTTTGTTTGGTAATTAGATTGTTCTCGCCGAATCAAAGCTTATTATTTTAGTAAATCATTTTGTTGAATGTGTTTTGTTTCATTTTGCATTTGTTATTTTTATGCCACTGTAAAGCTACAATTTATTTATTTTTTATATTTTTTCTGGGTGTCTATTTGCTCTTGATTTGTCGGGATTTTAATACGAGACGATTTCTCCATTTATTGGAGACATTGGATATATACGAAATTGCCAACCATTACGGTAATGGCAGTAATAAGTTAATGCGCTCGGCAAAGGC